GAGGGGGGTGGGGATAAAAACATCGATATGAGAACATTGATCGGTTGCCTCCCATAAGCACCTGGACTGGGGCCGGGGATTGAAACAGCAATCCAGGTAGGTGCTCTGACCAGGAATTGAACCCAAGACCTTTTGGTGTACAGGATGACGCTCCTACCGACTGAGCCACACTGGCCAGGGCCCAAGTTTAATTTCATCTGAGCCTTAATTCCAAGCCTTCCCAAGGTTGCAGAGTCTCCTGCCCCGCCCCCGCCCATCCCCAACCCTCCAGAGAGGAGCTTTTTCATCTCCAGCCAGTGGAGGAAGTTGGAGGGGCATGAGGTAGGGAAGGGTCAAGTTAGTGGTCTTTTGGCTCAAGCAATGGAGTTCTGGGCTTGGAACCATCCTGCTTGCATCTGAATGCCACCTCTGCCCTTCACTATGTGTGACACTGGGCAGCTGTTGGGAGCTCTCTGTGCTCCAGTTGCCTATCTGTAAAGTACAGAATATAACAGTGACTGTCAGAGAGTATTGTTATGAGGATTTAATGAAATGATACCCACAATGAATTTAGGACAGGATATGGTACATGTAGGTGCTCAACATCATTATTCATCAAATTGGACTAAGAAAAGCATCACTCATACAGGTTTTTAGAATACCTACTTTAATAAAAATATGAACTTTATATTTCATGTCTATAAATGAATCCTTATGAGGTAGTTGAAAAGCAGTTTCCTCTAATTATTTAAACATTTGCTTTTACCACCTTCCCTATGTTGTGGTTTCTGTTAATAAAGAAATAGTGCTAAACAAATGAAGGTTAGCATAGCTCCTAACCAACTTATCAAAAATTCCAAATTAGGGGAATCCAAATTGAAAGATTTCTAATGAATTAAAAGTAGTTTTTAGTGGAAAGCATCCTCCAAAATAATGTTCAGAATGATGGTGGCGGTTTAATAAAGGGCCAATTATTTCATTTTGTAACATGAGTCCCATGTCCAGCTTTATCAAAATATTGCTACATTTGTGGAAGGTGTTCCCTTTTGCAAGGAAAAATTTAAAAATTATAAATAAATTTGGTTTAAATTATGTTGGTTTTCACTAGTATTTTAAAAACCCCTTTATAACATGAAATAACAGTATAGTTATTAATCCACATACTTTCCTCTGTAGTTTCCATCAATAAGGGTGTGCCATCAACACCACCAATGCCCAGTACAACAGAAGCAGTGACCAGTTCTACAGGGAGAGAATCAACTCTCCTCTGAGCGACACAGAAGGACGGCACTGATGTAAGTTACCAGTGGCTTAGATTGTCTCCTTCAGATGAACATTCATTTCAGTAGAAAAAGGGATTTTTAAACGGTAAAACTTTCTACCTGAATTCTCTTATAAGGAAACAGTTGATTCTCACTGTTCATGTAGTTATGTTCTATAAAGTCACTGTGAACAACAAATGAGCAAATACTGAAACATTGCTCCTACAGGAAATACAGGGTTAGGTTCCTATGAGCTTCTGGTCACATTTTTGTCAACCGATCAATATATAACCTTATCATACAAGTGTTTATTTAAAGACACCTTATTTAATATACATTAACACTGAATTCATGGCCAACAGCACTATAAACCTGTGTCTGAATGAAGCTTATTTCACACTGTATTTTCTCCATAAGGCACATCACAGCCTTCATGTGCTGAGGAAACTAGACAGCACTTCAGCACTACATCTGGGGGCCATTATAAATAATGAAATCACCAACAAAAAGCACAAAAATTCACTATAAATAGACCACAAAAAGGACACTTGTTTTACAGTATGAGAGCTGAAACCTCAACTGGTGCACCTTGGACAATTCAAATTTTTACTATTCTGCACATGTCTGCAAATGACCACAGAAGTGCCTTGAGCACTGATTTGGGGGTTACAAGAAAATTGTAGCAAGTAGGTGAATTCCCAAATATGAAATCCACAAATGAGGACTATCTGTACTTTGGAACCTGTACTTAGATATGAAGTCCTTAATCTTTCCTTTACAGAAATGGGTTCTTGAATTCCTTAAGGTTTGAAAGTGAAAGTTACTGGATTGATAACTTACTAAAATGTGTTCAGGGACCTGTTTAAGCATGTTACAGATTTTATAATGGGAAGTATTTTTTAATTGAGGTATTATTGACATATATTATTATATTAGCTTCAGATGTACGTGATTCGATATTTGCATATTGCAAAATGATCACAAGTCTAGTTAACATCCGTCACCACACAGCCACAAAATTTTTTTTCTTGTGACGAGGACTTTTAAGATTTACTCTTAGCAACTTCCAAATGTGCAATACAGTTAACCATGCTATATATTACAACCCCATGATTTAATTATTTTAAAACTGGAAGTTTGTACTTTTCTCTAAAAAAAATATTTCCTTCTAAATAATATTCCATTGTACATGTATGCTACGTTTTCATTAACCATTCATCCACGGATACTTAGGTTGCTTCCAATCTTGGCTATAATAAATGTTGCTGCAGTGCAGATACTTTTCGGGTTAGTGTTTTCCTTTCCTTTGGATATATACCCAGAAGTGGAATTGCTGGTTCATACGGTAGCTCTATTTTTATTTTTTGAGGAACCTCCATACTGTTTTTCCACAGTGGCTGCACCAATTTACACAAAAGTACACAAGGGTCCCCTTTCTCCACATCCTCACCAACACTTATTTCATGACTTTTTGATCTAACAAGTGTGAGGTGATATCTCATTGATTTGCTCAAATATAAATGTTAACTGTGGTTTTTAAGACTAAATAAAACACTAATTAAAAAACTAGTTATTTGGACACATCACGTATGTAGTATTCCAACCAAAAATGTATATAGCAGTGCCCCCTTTTCTGTGGTCTTGCTTTTCATGGTTTCAGTTCCCCGAGTTCAACAATGGTCTGGAAATATTAAATGGAAAATTCCAGAAATAACTCATAAGTTTTAAAATCGCATGCCATTCTTAGCAGTGTAATGACATCTCATACTGTCCTATTCCATCCCTTTGTCCGGTGTATCCACGCTGTGTAAACATGACCTGCTGTTAGTCACTTAGTAGTCACCTAGATCGATTGCTGCTGGTATCACATGCTTGTGTGCAAGGAACCCTCATTTTACTTAATAATGGCCCCAAAGCACAAGAGTAGTTTAAACTTTATAGTAGGTATGTATAAACAAGAAAAAAACACAGTAGATATAGAGTTCAATATTAACCAGTTTCAGGCATCCACTGGGGGTCTTGGAACGTACCCCCTGTAGGTAAGGGGGTACTATTGTAATCTGAATCTTAGTGTAAGAAAACATCAACATACCAACTGATGAAAATTCTATGAAATGACTGGCCTGTATTTTTCAAAAATGTCTATATGATGAAAGACAGAGAGGTTGAGGAACGTTCCAGACTTAAAAAGACTAAAGAGGTGTGAAAACTAAACGCAATATGCAATCTTGAACTGGATATTCTGGTACTAGAAAAGAACTACTATAAAGGACATTATGAGGACAATTAATGAAACAAATATGCATTACAGATAAAAGAATTGTATCGTTTCTTTTTCTATGATTACATAAAACATCCTTCTTAAATACAAATTGAAGTATTAAGGGGTAAAGGAGCCTAATGTATGCAATCTTCTCTCAAATAGTTCAGAAACAAAAAAAAAATGTGACTGCAAATGAGGCAAATATTAAAAACAGGTGAATTTAGAAGGTCATATACTAGTGGGTAGTTTTTTGTTTTGTTCTTGAATTTTCTAAAGTTAAATTATTTAAAATAAAGTTTTAAAAAGCTATATATAATAAAACATGTACACATAAACTTACTGTCTTCTGTGGTTGGGTTCTTTCCAGTTTGACCAAAAATGACATTAGCAGCTGATAAACAGTGCCTGGCCTCCATAAAGCATTGCTGTTAAGGAAATAAACAAGAGTAAATGCATCTGTCCCACAGCCTTATTTGCAATTGATATGGGAAAAGCTATTAAAATCAGTAAAAACCACTAAGGAGACCCTGCATAGTCGCCGAACATTAAGAAAGTATATGACATGTTATGGTATTATCGAGTTACAAGGCTGCCTCAAAGAAGTACAATACCCCCAAACTTTTTTTAAAAAAATATATTTTGATTCTTTACAGAGAGGAAGGGAGAGGGATAGAGAGTTAGAAACTTCGATGAGAGAGAAACATCGATCAGCTGCCTCCTGCACACTCCCCACTGGGTATATGCTCACAACCAAGGTACATGCCCTTGACCGGAATCGAACCTGGGACCCCCTGAGTCCGCAGACCGACGCTCTATCCACTGAGCCAAACCGGTTAGGGCCCCCCAAACTCTTAATCCAAACTGCCTGGAAGACAGCTGCTGACTGAGTTGGCTCTCCTCAGGTAATCAGTAAGTATACAACAATAGCTATCATCATAGACTCAAAGTGCCTCAGATCATCTTTAGGTTCTGCCCAAATACACAAAGTTACATGCACAATAACTTCTTAGACCATTTTTACATTCTGTCAGAGGACTTAAAGATTTGATTTTGTTTAGGTTTAGAGATCCCTTTTCTGTCCTACCATTCAAAGGCAAAAAATAATAAATGATAGGAAGAGATTCTTATCTTCTAAAAATCTTCAAATTTATGAGAATTCCCACCAAGTTTTGAAGTCAACGACTTTCCACAGACAAACTTTACGAAACTGTTTTATCGACACATTTGAAGACTTCATAATTCAAATCTGGGCATAGTAAACTTCTCAAATGCTTGGAGAAGATCTCCTTGTTAATGTGAACACTTTGCATTTATCATGTAAGTCACAGGACCACCCAGCAAAAGTACGAAGTTCAAGTCCAACTTTTAGTTGAAAGCCATCCTCATAAATATGTCTACTTCATGTTAGATATACCTACCTGATTTTGCTAAGAAGATTTTTAATAGTTAGCTATGACTTTAAAATCTCAACATTGAATGTAGCCCTCCCTAATGGCAAATTCAGAAGCCATCTTGAGAATATCTGGGGACATGTGTAGTATTAGCCCAGCAACATCTACAGATCAAAGTGTTAGCGTTAAACCTCAAAAAAACAAAAGTTCGTTTACATAAACAGCTTTAATTGTCCCTCCACAATCCCTCAGCCTTCATTACCACTTCAGCTTTCTCCAGCGTGGTCCCTGTGAGCAACCACTACTAGACCAGCGAGTGTCTTGCTTTGTGCCCTCAGGTGGCTGCTAAAGTGGGACGTTAGCAGCTGCCAGGTAGGGACTCACCAAGCAGCAAACCTCACCTCTGGACCAGATGAGGATGAGGATGATATAAATGACAGCTGCTTTTCTAAAAACATGGTTCAAATCTCTCTCTTTGCAATACAACTTAACCAGCTGTAACAAAAACTTATAAGCCATCTTGGTAAAAAAATAAAAGCTCAAGGTAGTGGAGGTACTCATGAAAACTACTGCATGCTCCATGTAAGCAATGTTTAACAACTTTATATTTTAAATTACACTTTAATATCTAGATAGCTAAGTATTATCAATACCAACATTGTTTTAAGTGATAATCAGTGAATATGTAACTTTAAACAAAACAAATAAGAGGCGCCCAGAAGTTATAAAAATGGTGCGACAAGCAGAGGCACAAGATAACACTTTTTGATGATGGCCACAATGAAATGGATGCATGAGTTAGATTTAACTGAATGCTCTGATATATTCAGCAGCATTACTTACTTAGACCATAGTCCTAGAAGCAGTGCTACAGTCACCACAGCCCTTTCTCTCCTACTAATAGCTTTTCTGAATGAAATTCTGTGGGACAATACTTTAAACTTAGGGTGCATTTACAGAATCAGCACTAACAAAAATTCTTAGAAAGGATAAAGGCCCAGTAAGGATATCGCAGCAGGCAACCAGAGATCTAAGAAGGAACTCTGATAAGCAAAAATTACCAAAACTTCAGAGAGGCTTGTGAGTCAGAAATACAAATAAAAGTAATTTCTATTGCTGAGATATCCGATTGAGGATTAACAAAATATCTAGCTGGGAAAGGTGGCTTAAAAGTGTTTTAGCATTAAAAACAAGATCTTGAATAGAGGAACAAATAAGTCAATTAAAAGTATACAACATGATTCTTAATAATTTTGATAAACAACTAAAAAGCTAAAAGTCCCTGTGAAGTATATCATAAAGACCTGGAACTCTGGAACTGAGCAGAGATATTCCCAAAATAGAAAAATTATTATAAAGAAATTCTAAATAACTGAAATGCATCACATGCTTTTATCAAAGCCCACATTTAACAGTCAACTTCCTCAAATTCTCATAGCCAGCAGATTACAATTGTCTAAAGATAAAGTTATATCTACAAAATCTGCAATTTAAGGTAATATCTCACTAAAATGAATTGAGAAAGCATGCTTCTAACAAAAAAGAATTGGTCTTAGGTAACGTAATTTTAGAGGCTAGAAACATGTAAGATAATGATAAAACTCAGTATTTTAAGATTCAATAGATTAATGCAACAAAAGCTACAAAATTTTAGCACACTGGCAAACTGGGCTGCATTTTTCTGTCTAGTTTACATCAAAATATAAGCTACCTATTTTTTTCAAGGTTTAATTATAAGTTCTTATTGTTACTGCTGTTGAGATGAGAGTATGGGCTACTGGTTGGCTACTTTATATCCCATTTTTTGGTTAAAACTATCACAAAGGCCCATGCCATTCTAGCTGGATGCCAGTTGTGTGGATATGCTTTTGTTGTTGTCATCGTTGAATTCTATTACAGATGTCCCTAAGATACCGAGTTTTAAAAGATTTTATTTTCAAGGTACTATTTGGTCTATATTTCATATACTCTATCGGTAACTTTGTTAGATAACAACTTCAAAAAGCTTACCTTATTGATGTAAAATTGTGACAAGGTAGCAGCATTAATAGCCCACTCTATAGGATGGTAGGCATTGTGCTCAAGCTGGCGTTTTAGGGTACTGTGGCAATAATGAGCAGCCTTCTCAAACACTTCCTTATGTTGGTAGACTTGAGCCAGGTAATATAGGTTATGAGTATAAACCTTCTCAAATCTATGAAGAAAAAAAACAGTATTTGCATAATGGTTTACAATTTATACAGAACTTTCATATATATGTATCTTAATCCTCTCACAACCCTTTAAATAGGGTATGGCTATTTGACAGATAAGGAAACTGATCCTTAGATATGAACAGAGTCACATATCTAAATAAGTGGCAAATGAAGGTTTTAATCCGTTTCAGAATCCACATTCTAGAACTTTTATGAGTGCCTTGAAAGAGAAAACGTGTTTTTTAACAATCATCTACACTATGTGAAAATGTCTGTGAGGGCTGATTTCTATACCTACTCACCTTTTTGATCTCTCTTGTTCAGTAAGTTTCTCTTCTTCAGGAAGAAAATGCTCAGTAGGATCAAGAGGAGGACTCCCAATCTACAATCAAAGAAAAACAACTCTAAAATTTCACTGTAAACACCAAGCGCCCTCTTCTGGAAGGACTGGAGAAATTCATTTTACCCAAGAAGTAATTTTCTTAACCCATAAAATCTAAGTCAAAGAATTAAAAGATTTCCTACAAGCTCACACTTGACAAAATTTTAATGGCTGTTTCAGGTGAACTTCAAATAAACTAAAAAAAAAACAAAACACCCTGCTTTTAGATAAATAATTTTTAGGTATTTTAAGTCTTTATTTTTAATTTATCTTTCTTGTTGAAAGTATTACAGATGTGCCCTTTTTTCCCCCATTGACTCCCTCCACCGTGCCCCTCTAGCCCCACTAGGTATTTTGTCTTAATTCTGTCTGATATTCTTTTAAAACCTACATAAGCATGACAAATAGAAAAAAATGTATACATCCTTAGAGTAATATTGTTCTAAACTGACCACTAATGAAAAATCAAAGTTTTAAATAATTTTTCTAATATTTTTTTCCTCAAGGAAACAAGTATATAGATTACCCTCTTTTTAAAATTTTTTATTGATTTAGAGAGAGAAACATCAATTTGTTGTTCCACTTATTTTTGCATTCACTGGTTGATTTTACATTTTGTATGCAAACAATAAAAGCATTATGACTTGGGGTCCTAGAATTCATAGAAAGTGAAAATGGCCCTAACTGGTTTGGCTCAGTGGATAGAGCGTTGGCCTGCGGACTGAGGGGTCCCAGGTTCGATTCTGATCAGGGGCATGTACCTTGGTTGCGGGCACATCTCCAGTGGGAGGTGTGCAGGAGGCAGCTGATCGATGTTTCTCTCTCATTGATGTTTCTAACTCTCCCTCTCCCTTCCTCTCTGTAAAAAATCAATAAAATATATTTTAAAAAAAAAAAGTGAAAATGACTAAGATAGGAAGCAAGGCCAAAGACAAACACAATAGATTTTTAAATAATTCTGCAAAGACCATCTCAACAATTTTAAGGGCTGTTTAGTATGCTTACCCCTGTCTTAATGAGGGGAATTAGTCAATGTATTATTTTATGTACATACGTCACTGTTATGACTATCACACTTTATGTGTAACACTGGCAGTTAAATCAGTCTCTTAACTAAAACAGAGGCATAAAAATAGAGTGGCCTGAACTGTGTGGCTCAGTTGGTGGGGTGTCATCCCATGCACCAAAAAGGTCACTGGTTCGATCCCCAGCAGGGGGTGTGCAGAAGGCAGGTGATTGATGTTTCTCTCCCTCTCTTCCCTTCATCTCTCCTCTCTCTTAAATCAATAAAAACATTTTTTTAAGTACACAGTGTTTTGCTACATGTTTTATGTTTCCTTATTAATACTAGGTTTGAATATAATATTATAGGTTTTTGGTATCCTTACCATTTTAATTTAACAAAATTCTTATATTAAGAGTGAGAGCCTAAAATCATTAAACAGAGACGAACATCTTCAATTTTGGCTTTGTGGCTCTCTGGCGCTGCTTAGTTCTTCTTTATTTTTTATAAAAAAATATTTTAATGAATTTTTAACAAAGAGGAAAGGTAAAGAGAAACCCATCTTAGGAACCTGCGATCGGGGAGAACCTCCGGTTCGGCTGGCTCCC